ATGGTTTGGGGGGGGACGCCTGGGTAGCTGGTTGGTTAAGCGGTTAAGCATCTGCCTTAGGCTCGGGTCATGGTCCTGGGGGTCCTGGGATCAAGCCCCTTATTGGGCTCCCTGCTCGGCGGGGAGCCTGCCTCTCCCTCTGCCCGCCCTGCTCACGCTCTCTCACTCACTCACTCTCTCTCTATCTCAAATAAATAAAATCTTTTAAAAATAAATAAAGTAGGATAGTCGGGGTAGGCCGCATTTAGATGGGATGGTTTGTACAAGGGTGTGAAGGAGGCAAGGAAGTTGGCCTGTGGATGTCTGAGGAGAGAGGTCTAGGTATAAGGAACAGCCCATGCAAAGGCCCTAAGGCAGGAATGTGTCTGGTGTGTTTCAGGACTAGCAAGGTCAGTGAAGGTAGAGTGGAGTAGGTGAAGAGGAAGAGGTTCGTTGTTTATGTCTTCTGGAAGATGTCTATGGCTTTGGGGAGCCTCTGGTCCAGAGTGCTTTCTCCACTACAGTAACTTTCTTTTTCTCACTTAATAGTTGTAGACTATGTTGCCATGTGTAGAAGTGTTCTGCAGCCTAACATTTAAAAGTCACATAATGGGGCGCCTGGGTGGCTCAGTTGGTTGGGTGACTGCCTTCCGCTCAGGTCATGATCCCGGAGCCCCGGGATCGAGTCCCGCATTGGGCTCCCTGCTCAGCGAGGAGCCTGCTTCTCCCTCTGACCCTCCCCCACTCATGTACTCTCTCTCTCTCTCTCATTCTCGCTCTCTCAAATAAATAAATAAATCTTTAAAAAAAAAAAAGTCACATAATGTTCCATCATGTGACTACACCATTTATTTATGTTTTTAATTCCCTATCAGTGAACTCTCCAGTGTTTTTTTTAAATTTTCATCACTATAAACAGCACTGCAGTGAACATCCTTTTGGCTAAATCTTTGACTGAATCCAGCGTTTTTCCTTAGAATAGATTCCTAAAAGTACAATCACTGAGTCAGAGTGACAACAGAATGTTAAGACCTTTGTTGTATATTTGCCAAGCCCTTTTATTTATCTATTTTAAAGATTTTATTTATTCATTTGTCAGAGAGAGAGAACACACGCAGAGGAAGCGGCAGGCAGAGAGAGAAGCAGGCTCCCCGCTGAGCAGGGAGCCCGATGCAGGACTCGATCCCAGGCTGCTGGGATCATGACCTGAGCCAAAGGCAGATGCTTAACGACTAAGCCACGCAGGCGTCCCTGCCAGGCCCTTTTAAAGAGCACCATTACCCCCAGCTACAGACTGTTCAGACATACCCCTTCCCGCCTTTCACACTGTGGATCTTGGTTCCAGGCTCAAGCACAGACATCAGCGAGGACTGGGAAAAGGACTTCGACTTGGACATGACCGAAGAGGAAGTGCAGATGGCACTCTCCAAAGTGGATGCCTCTGGGGAGGTGAGTGGACCTGGTTCGCCTCAGGGAAGCAAGCTCAATGCTCCCAGTGTGTGAGGACTCTCCCCATCAGGCCAACCGTCCCCTAAGGATGGATCCCTGCTCCTCTCTGAGATGGCAGCTTCCAGAAGGGTGCTGGAGCCTCCCACTCAGGCCCTGAACACTTCCCATCAGCAGGCTCTGCTTCCCCTCAGTTCCAGGGTAGACGGTGGGAGAGTTCCTGACATTAGCTCTGCATGAAAGTCACCTGAGGAACTACTAAAAAAAAATGTACTCCAAACCCTGCCCCACATCATGGTCCCCAGGGATGGTCCCGAACAGATTTCCTGGCCTTGGGGCAAAAGACAGTGTGATCTAGGGCAAGTCACTTAACCTGAGCTTCTGTTTCACAATTGAAAACCTAGAACTGGCCCTAGAAGCTTGTAAGCTGTGATAGACAATGCATGTAGACGTGTTAGGCGTCGTGCCTAGGACATGGGAGCAGGTGGTGAACATTACTGAAGCTGCCACAAAACCCGTCCAGCTAGAAAGCTCAGAGGCCTTCCTACTCTTATGCTTCATTACCTGCCACAGTCAAGAATGGGTCATTTTGAATGGAAGGCAGGGGGAAAAGCTCTCACAACTACTAAGTGACAGGACTGAGGCTCCAGGCCAGACGTCTGATTCAAGTCCATGCTATTTCCACAGTCACACAAGAACCACATGATTCCTTCCATCATGTAGCTCATGAACCGGCTATAAAGAGGTGAACAGATGAGAAAGACAGGCAGGGCCTTGGTTTTCATATTGGAAAACTGAAGCCTGGGGAGAGGTAGAGACCTACCCAAGAGTCTTTGGCTCCTGTGACCTCACTATGCCCGGGGCGGAGAAGGTCCCTGATCCCCTCTCATGTCCCAGGGGCTCAATGCCCTCTGTGTTTCTGCGGCCCTCAGTAAAACCTGACAGCCGTATACCTAAGCAGCGTCATTCTACCACCTCCTACCACCTCTCATACCCGGGATCAGTTGACAGCAGGCCAATAGAAAGTTCCCTGGGGAGACTTCAGCTGGGGGAGTAGGGTGCTGGAACCCCTGAGGAAGAGCCTGTGAGCACCCTCATGGCAGTGCCCCTCTCCAGTTCTCCTTCAGGGACTGACCGACATAGTTCCTAGGGGCATCCAGTGTTGGCTGGTGGAAGCATTTCCTTTGGGTCCGGAATGATCAGAGCAGCAGACCCACCCCTTAGGCGGAAGATAGCTCTGCTCCCCAGACACATTCCTTAAGACAGTGGTTCACTCTCACAGAGGGCAGGAGGGTATGGCCCAAGGCAGGGCTGGGCAGGGTAGGGGAGGCTATCCGTAAATGGAGGCAGCAAGGGAAGGTTGGGTCTGGGCTTGACTGAGAGGAGTAAATATGTGTTTGTGCTCTCCATTATCCCCTCCTGTCTGCAGCTGGAAGATGTAGAGTGGGAGGACTGGGAATGAGGGGAGCCAGAGCGTGCAGCTCCCCCTGCCCACAGAACCTCCCACCCCCTCGCTCGTCTCAGCCCAGCCCTGGAAGACACTGACTGAGAATGTCCCCCCAATGGCCTCTGTCAACCAGAGCTCGGGTACAGATTCTGGGTGGCTCCTTGCTGGTCCTTTGGGCCTCTGCTCACATCTGGGAAGGGGCTCACTAAATCCAAACCAGGAACTCTGACTTGTGCCAACCATAGGATGACTCAAGGGGGAGGAGACCTACCCCTCCTCACCAGAAGAGCCTACATTTCTCTGCTGAACACCCACTGTTCTTAGGGACTGTTGCTGGGAAGTCCCAAGGGATAATTCTAGCCCTTCTACCTGTGTAGACAGAAACTAAGCACCAGTCTCTTGGAGGAAGCTGAGACAACACTCTGTCCACCCATAAGCAGGCAAGGAAGGCCATCCCACCTGTCCTTGGCTAGACAGGATGGCAAGCACATCCTGGTTTCTAGCCTAGTGAGTAAGAGGCATTCGTCTCTGGGAAACTTGCCTCTCTTGGGGATCTTCCCCTCCCAGGCATTTTCCATTCCCAGAAAGGTTCCTTGTGGTTCCGAATCTAGAGACCAAACCCTGAGTTCCCACCTCCTTCCTTCTGTCCAGCCCAGGCTGGTATGTCCCCAACACCTCTCCCAGGGCTTCTTCATGTCGGATGCACCCAAGTCCTTAGCCCAGCCGTGCCACCTGCAAGAGTTTGCTCTTGCATTTCTTCCCCTCCTTAAGAAGGGAGGGGGTCACTTCAGGCCCTTCTGTGCATTGCCTGGCGGGATACCTTGTCCAACCAGCTACCCACCTCGACCCCCCTGTAGCTTAGGACACAAGCCAGCTACCAGCGGTACAGAGCAGCGATCAAAGCCGAGTACTTACAACTCCAGTAAGCCCAACTTCTCCACCTCAGCCCTTCTGCTGCTTGAAGGGCTATGCTGGGGGTGAACTTCTTGAGACTCTCATCAGGCTTCTGCAAAAGCTCTTCTTCCTGAAGACTGACCCAGTCTTTGTGGCTCTCACCCTTCACTCTGGTAAAGCTGTTCCTCTCTTGGGGGAATGAGGGGCTGCAGGAATTCCTGGAGACCCTGGTGCTTCCTGATGCTGCTCTGGTGATTCTGGTACATAATCTGGTGTATTCACCAGTGAAGTAAAGGGATTGTGGTCAGGTCTGCCAAGAGAGTAGTGGTCCCTTCCACTTCAAACCTTCTTTGGAGGGGGGTGGGATGGAAAGAATGTTGAATCTTTTTTTTTGACAGGATGGGGTTTTTCTCTTTGTAATTATTTCTTTAGTTTAATTAACCTTTTGGTTGTTTGTGCAATATTATATATTTTAAATTATAATGCATCTCCCCAGAGTATTTTGTAGCCAGGAAAAGAAAAAAGGGAAAAAAAAAAAAAAAAAAAGATTCTAACAGCTGTTAGTTTTGTAATTAAAAAAAAAGAAAAAAGAACTTTGTCCTGAACCTTTTCCAGACTTGCCGTTAACAGCATTAAAGAGATTCAACAGAGGCTGGAAGTCTGGGGGTCTGTTCTTGTCCCCAACAGCAGCTGCCCTGGAGGCAAGGCAGGACGGACACAGTGTGCAGGCTGGCTTCCTGCGTGGAGCCTGGGGAAGGGGCGGGGGGGCAGGGAGGGGTGGTCTGGGGCTCAAGGAAGTCCCCTGTCCTCACCTCAGACTCAGCTTAGACTCTGGGGTGAGGCAGGAACAGGGCCCCCAGCAGGCCTCTCACCAAGACAAGGAGTCGAGAGGCCGTCTCTGCATTCCCAGTGCTTCTGCTTTTATTTGGAAAGGAAGTTGCAACAGTGGTGGTTCCAGTGGCTCTTGGTCACTTCTCCCCTCTCCTCCCCCAGTGTGTGTATGATTCTGGGGTCTGGTTTTTTTTGTTTTTTTTTTCCATTAATTTGAGTTGAACACCTGTGTGAAAATCACTTGTTAGCTGTAATAAAAGGGAAGTCTGAATGAGGCCCTCTGGTTGCATGAAGATCTTTAAAGGGAAAGAGAAGTAAGGCTTGGGGAGGGTGTAGGTAAGTTCTAGGACAGAAGTAAACTTAAAGTGTAAGACATATATCACCATCTTAGAAGCGGGTTTTGGGGTTTGCTTTCTCCCCCTGCTTTATTGGGGAGGACTTGCCATTGTTTTTATCAAGTGCTTGCTAGCCATGGGTGCCAACTAACTTCTTCGATTGAAGGCCGGAGGATCATATCTGGTTCCAGGAGCCGCTTGAGCAGGTCCTGGCATTCGGCCGAGATGCCCAGGTGAGCGGGGAAGGACACCCCCTTCTGCTGCTGCCACAGCATCTTGGGGATGTCTGTGTCGTCAAAAGGTAGGCTGGCGCAGAGCATGACGTACAGGACGACGCCCATGCTCCAGACATCCCCCTTCTTGCTATCGTGGGGAACACCCTGCAGCACCTCGGGGGCGGCGTAGGCTGTGCTGCCGCAGAAGGTCTGGCTCAGCTCTCGGCGTGACTTGGGCAACACCTTAGCGAAGCCAAAGTCAGTCAGCTTCAGGTTGAAGCCCTGCAACAAGGCGTTCTCACACTTGAGGTCCCGGTGGGCCACACCACAGCCATGGCAGTAGCGGATGGCCTCGACCATCTGACGGAAGAGGGCCTTGGCCCGGCTCTCGGGCAGCGGCCCCCCATTCAGCACACAGTCAAAGACATCCCCTCCTTCAGCCAGTTCCATCACCAGGTAGATTTTCCCGTCGGCAGACTCCAGCATCTCATACACCCGGATGATGTTCTTGTGGTCCAGGGTACGGACAATCTGGAGCTCCCGAGGCAGGAATCTCTGCATAAATTCTGAGGAAACAAGGGGAAAAGACACGTCTGGGTGTCTGCCCACCGTGTCTGGGTCTGGTGCCTTGGTTCCCATTAACAGTCTTAAATGTCTAGCTGCTTGGACATTGCAAAGAATGCCCACTGCTATTATTTTTGTAGTTAATTTATTATTCAAAGGAACAACTCCCTGCCACCCTCACACTGTTGTGAGCAACCTGTGAGACCATGGATATCAAAGTGCTTTGGGGATTTTTTAGACAAAACCACTGAATCTCGGTTATGAGGCCTGGATTGCCCACAGCGTGGTGAGCAGCTCCTCACACCCCTGCCTCCTGACCCCACCGTTCTTCCCTTGAGCCCTGTCTTCCTTGTTCCCACTTCTGCCTGCCTTGGCAGCAGCTCCTACCCTCTGCCAGCCTAGGCCATGGCCTCTCTGCCCATCTCCGTCCCCCTCCTGGAACAAGGAAGGCCCAGCAGGCTGGGGTTGTGCCTCTGAGGCCCTTTACCTCCTGCCACTTTAATCTTGGGTTTTAGAGGTGCGAGTTTCCCCCACCCCCCACGACCTACCCCAGAGCCACAAACTCTCTTGCACTCCTTGGTTCCAGACTAAAGGGGAGGAGGGGATGATCCTTCCCACTGGAGGAAGTGCCCACCCACCTCAACCAGCCCTCCCTCCCTCCAAAGGGGCCCCAGCTCACCTTCTGGCCCTCCCATCTTGTCTATAATTTTAATTGCCACTTTTCTTTGGTGTTTTTTGGAAAATGCTTCTTTGACTTTTGAGTAGGTCCCTTCCCCAATGGTCTTGCCCAGCTGGTACCCATTGGAGAGCAGAAAGTCCTCCATGCTGTCTAGTGCCTCCTTCCTCACCCTCTCAGCTCATGCTGCCTCTGTGAGGCAGCTCTACTCCACCATCGCCCTTGGCCTGCTCCTTTTCCCCCCAAGGACTTCATGCGCAGCCGCCCCAGCGCTAGAGCATTCTCCGTCTGGACACAGCAGCCACGGGTGGTGGGGAGGGAGAGGGCCATTTTAAAACTCCGGCCCAATTGTGATGTAAATGCTGTGTGACCCTTGGCCAAAATTGTCAGTGCCCTTACCTGCCCTCACCATCACCACCACCAAACCCAGCACGGGTTAAGTCACCGCCGCGCCCCCGTCCCCCAGCCAGGCAGGGAGTCGCAGCCCGCCCCGGGGCGCTCCGGGGCGTCTGCGCGCCGCCCGGGATGACGGGCTCCTTTTCGTGGACGCCGCCTCCTGCGCCCCCATCGGGCTGCTGGGGGGGCTCTGCCCGGCCCGGTACCGAGGCGCCATGGCCGGAGCCTTCCGGACCCGGCTCGCGGCCGCGCGGAGTGCCGGGCGGCCCGACGCGGCGAGGGGGGAGTTCCCGGCGAGAGGAACGGGCTCTGTGAGGTCAGCGCGCCGCGGCCCGGGTCACAATGCAGCCCGCCCCCTCGACGCCCGGGCCACGGCGCGCCGCAGACACCTGCCGGGCTCCGCCTGGACCGGAGCGTCGTCCCGCGGCCAGGGGTCCGGCAGCTGCTTCCAGCCTGGGACCAGCCTCGGCCTCCGGCAGGTGAGCAACGACCCAGGGGGCGGGGGCGGGCGCGGGCAGGGGGCGTCCGGCGGCCCGGGAGCGGCCTGACCGCCACTCCCCGCGCAGAGCGCCCCGGGGCCTGGACATGAGTGCCCAGGAGCCCCCGCAGGGTCGAAGGTTCCCCATTGAGGCCGGAGACTCCCCTGGCCTTGCCGCCGCCCCCGAGTCCCAGGACAGCCCGGAGCCGGTAGCCACGGAGCACACCCCGGTCAGGTGAGGCCGGCGCGCTCCCCGCGGCCCCTCCTGCCGCTCCGGTCGTCCCCGCCGCGCGGGGCTCCGGACCGCCTGCGTCCACTTTCCCTGCCCAGAACCGCGTCCCCGCATCAGGGCCCCGCGGAACCCCGGGGGTGGGGGGGATGGCCCGGGTGCACTCCCCGGGCGCGTTCCCAACAGCAGGGGCCGGGCCCCGCTTTCCCCAGGCCGCTTCGACGCTGCCCGGGCTGCCACTGCCTGACGCTGCTGCACGTGCCCATCGACGTCTACCTGGCCATGGGCGGGAGCCCCCGGGCCCGCGCCACCTGAGTGCGCCTGCGCACGGCGGCTCCTCGGGAGCCGGGCGGGGACGAGGCCCGCCGCGGGCCACCACGCTGAGGTCGCGCGCGCCGAGCACGAGACAATGATGCACATTTTAAAATAAAAGAATGATGCACATTTTAATAAAGCACAGCATAAACTGTTCTTTCCACTCCGGGCTGACCGTGTATGTCTATCCCGTCGATCGACCCGCAAACTGCTCCGCTCCTTCCCTCGGCTGCCTCCTCCCTTGGACCCAGCCCTAGAGGCCCGCCCTCCGCGTCCGCGCCAACCACCCCCCCACCCCGCCCCGACTCCCTACTGGTCCGGACCCCTTCCAGGGCTACCGTTCCCCTCGGCCCCTGCCCTCATCCTTCTCATCCCTCTCCTCGGTTTCCCAATGCAATTCCCATAGCTGTGCTGGATTCGGGGATCCAGAGAAACTCTGGACTGGAGCGGCTGGACCGACAACTTAGAATAAAGAGAACGACCACCCACACCAGCCCAGTGAATGCTCCCAAAATGGAATTAGCGTTTGCTATCTGCTGTTCTGTGACCTTGGGCACCTCGGATTAGGGGCCTCCCAGGAACCAGAAAAAGACCGGGCAAGAAGTCTTTTGAAAAACCTTGATTTCTTATTCCTATTTTACAGGTGAGGTAACTGAGCCTTGAGAGACTTGCACGGGTTCCCCCAGCTGATGGTTGATAGGCTAGCACACTCCTCAGTGTCCTCAGACTTAACACTCTAAAATCCATCCATGACCCAAGGCTTCCTGGAAGTATAGCATTTAGCTGAGCAAGTATTTTCCACTTTCCAGTTTTGCTTTAATAAGCCTGTATTATTTTAATATTGGAAAAAATACGCATAACCCAGAGGTCAGGTTCAGTCTCCTGTCCCCTGAAATTTAAATGCAAATGACTTAACACCCCTAATCCACATGGGGTAGAATTCCCAGCCCTTCCTAGAGTACTTCAAAATCCCACACTCACCCAAAAGGACCACCGTTCTCGGTTTCCACATAAATTCTCTCCCAGGCAGTCCCAAATGTAGGAGACTTATTAAAAGAGGAGAGGAGGTCACTATAATGTACACCTGAAACTAATATTACACTATGTTAACTAACTGGAATTTAAAACTTGAAAAAAGTAAAATAAAAATAAAAATTAAAAAAAGGGGGGGGCGCCTGGGTGGCTCAGTGGTTAAGCGGCTGCCTTCGGCTCAGGTCATGATCCAGGAGTCCCAGGATCGAGTCCCACATCAGGCTCCCTGCTCGGCGGGGAGTCTGCTTCTCCCTCTGACCCTCTTCCTTCTCACAATCTCTCTCTCAAATAAATAAATAAAATCTTTAAAAAAAAAAAAGGAGGAGGGATGTTTGCCAAAAAAGGGTCTACTTCGAACTGAGGATTTTAGACTTGACCATTCGGTGCCTGGTCCTTCAAACACCCTCTTTCTTGAAAGCCTTCCCATGCCTCTCTTTCCCTTTCACCCACCAGAAGAATCCCTGGCTTCAGGCCACAGTGCTGGCTTCCCTCTCCTCTTTACTCCTCTCCTCATCCACTCTTAATTCCTAGAGAGCCCCCAGGGCTCTCAGTTCACTCTATTAAGTGGAGTAATCTAGCTGTTTCGATCCCCATCGAGCTCCATCCAGGCAAAGCCTACCCAGCATAACCCACGCTGCTGCTCTGCCGGAAAAGGGCCTTCTTCCCTATAAACAGTCACCCCCTCCTTAGAAGACCACTGTAAGCTTAGAGAGAAAAATATTATTGGCCTCTGTATTGATGAGGTCTCTCCTTTGCAAGCAGCTAAAGTTAACTTACATTGTTTCAAGTGGCTCGGAGGGATATAAGCTTTCCAGATACATAAACTTAAAGGAAGAACTGTAGGAACCAGGGTGTCGGGGCGGCGGGGCGGGGGCGGCCCACCAGGACTACCCCTTTGTTCATCTCTCATCCCCGATTATCTCCTCTGGGCAGGGAACATGCCTGTGGCAGTTTGGAAATCTGCAAATGGGAGAGGTGCTTTCTCCCACTCTCAGTTTACCTGACCTTGGGAAGGGCAGTGATTGACCCTTCTTTTAAGTCGCCTGCGCACTCTTTCAGCCAATTACCATCATCAGGGAAAGGTGAGACTATGATTGATCCAGCTGGGCCAGCAGAACCTACCCTTGAGGTGGAAGCATGGCCGGGTGATGGACAGCATCACCAGAAAATAACGGGCAGAGATGGAGAAAAAACATTCTGGGAGACGAGAGAGCTTATGTAAAGATTGGGTATTCCTCCAGGGAAAGAAGCCCTGAGAGAGAGAGACAGTGGCAGGAGCCAGGGTGACAGCTCTGTTCCATGGCAATGAGGAGCCTTGGACAGTGTGACCAGGAGTCAGGCCACCAGGTTCTAGTTCAGGCTCTTTCCCTGCCTTGGTCAATATAAGTCCACCAGCCAGGCCTGTGCAAGGCACTGGGGATTCAGCAGTGAACTTGAAGGACCACAGGCATTGGCCCTCATGGAACTCACACAGCCTAGCAAGCAGGAGGCCTCACTCCAGCAAGTCCCTTCCTCACTGGTTTAAAAAAATTAGGAGGCCACCTGGCTGGGTTGGTTGGAGGAATATGTGACTCTTGATGTCGGGGTGGTAAGTTTGAGCCCCACATTAGGCATAGAGCTTACTTAAATAAATACATAAACTTTAATTTTTTAAAAAAGACAGGTGTCTGGGACGCCTGGGTGGCTCAGTTGGTTAAGCCTCTGCCTTCAGCTCAGGTCATGATCTCAGGGTCCTGGGATCGAGTCCCACATCGGGCTCCCTGCTCAGGAGGGAGCCTGCTTCTCCCTCTGCCTGCCGCTCCCCCCTGCTTGTGCTCTCTCTCTCTCTCTCTCCGATAAATAAATAAATAAAATCTTTAAAAAAAAAAAAAAAGACAGGTGTCTGGGTGACTTGGTTGAGTTGAGCGTCTGACTCTTGGTTTCGGCTCAGGTCATGATCTCAGGGTGGTGGGATCAAGCCCCGCATAGGGCTCCACACTACCCCCTCCGCCTCCCCCCACCCCCCGCTCTCTCTCGAAAATAAATAAAATCTTTTTGAAAAAGAAAAAAAAGACTTGCTGCCAGCCATCCCGCATATGCTTGGATAGTGAGTGATGCAAAGATTTCAGACACACATCTTGCCTGGAGGGGTCAGCCCAGGGGCTAGTTAGCTCCACTGGGTGGACAGAACCTTGTGCGCAAAGGACTGGAGACTGGAAAGTGCAGTGTACGTTCCAGGAAGTCAATTCGGTCACCTTCTTCCAACACCTACCTATCTGGGCTACACCAGGTGCTGAGAACCTAGGCTTGAATCTGACAGATCCTGGCCCTTGCAGAGCTCAGAATTCAGGGGATCTGGAGATGATGTAAGAGAAGAGAAGCTAGATTAAGAAGGCCTTGAATTTGAGCTCTGTTCTATAGGTGACAGTATGACATGCTGCAACCTGAGTCACTCACTCTCCTATTTCTTTTCTCCTTTTCCATCCTGTTCTCTGCTTCTGCCTTTTTCCCCCTGGAAAAGCCACTGGCCTAAACTCTTAGAGTCCTGACTGCCATTTACTAGCTGCACAAACTTGGGCCAGGTACTTAGCCTCTCTGAGTTCTCCATTCCCAAATCTGTAAAATGGGCTTAATGACACCTGCCAGAAGGTTTCAGGCATGTACAGCACCGGGCAGGAATTTCCGGCACAGCCCGCACTCGAGCAAGAGAGGCGGCTGC